GAGCAATTCGAACAAATCTAAACATCAATCAAATTAAAAAAAAAAAAAACAAGTAAAAAAGCTGTAAGTTCGACCGGGCCGAACTTTGAATACGCTCCACCATTTGGAACGAATTTGACAATGCTCAAAAACAAAAAATTCGTTAAAAATTATGTTAAAATCTTAAAAATTCCGAATGTAGCTGATACATAAGGGTCTATACGACGACGTGGACCTGCACAGACAATTTTCTTCTTTGGATGTAGTATCCATTACGAACTTCAAATACCAAATTTGAAACAATTCCGGTGAATAATGGTCGGTAAAATAATCAAAATACCGAATATCGGGAGGTACCGTTATATGGAGACTATACGAAGACGTGGACCTGCACAAAGAATTTTCTTCTTTGGCTGTAGTATCCATTACGAACTTCGAAGACGTGAACCTGCACAGACAATTTTCTGGCATAGGCTGAAGGATTCATTACGAACTTCAAATACCAACTTTGAAACAATTCCGGTGAATAATGTCGGTAAAATCAAAATACCGAATATGGGGAGGTACCGTTATATGGGGGCTATACGAAGGCGTGGACCTGCACAGACAATTTTCTGTCATAGGCTGTAGTAATAATTTCAAACTTCAAATACCAAATTTGAAATAATTCCGATGAATATTGTCGCAAAAATCATCAAAATACCGAATATCGGGAGGTACCGTTATATGGGGGCTATACCAAAACGTGGACCATTTTCAAGACCAAAATTTCTGCAGACATTATATACAGTTGAGTGAAATTTTATCAATCTATTTCAATTCGTTCGGAAGATAGAGTGATTTCCACAGACGGACCGACGGACATAGCTAAATCGACATAGAATTTTATGCTTATCAAGAATATATATACTTTGTGGGGTCTAAAATGTATATTTCGGGGTGTTACAAACGGAATGACAAACTTAATATACCCTCCATACTATGGTGGAGGGTATAAAAATTTTAAAAAAATTTGGCGTTTGACTTTGTTGCAGTTCTTTTTCTCACCCTTTATTTTTCAACCGAGCGAAATGCAATTTTCTATGGGAAACCTGTAATTTATACAGTCTGATTTTTAAATTTTCCTTTTATTTCTCTCAACATTTTCAACTTTTCGTTATGTTATGTTTTGATTTAAATAAAACCCTCTTGTAAACTTCTAAGACTAACAACCAAACACTACCACTGCCACACCACTTCAACCACCCATGACCCACCGGCCCACTTATCTATCTCCCCCTCGTCCATGACAATATCTTAATTAAAGCTATTATAAATCATTTTATTTTTGTGTGATAAAACTCGACTCAAAGACACCGGCACAATGGCACATTTATCCACTCGAGTGAGACCCTCTCGAGTGGAGGACAAAAGACTTTCGGACATTTGGATAAGATCAAAAGCTACAGCAACAACAACACCAAAGCAGGAGTAGAAGCAGCAGTAGTAGATGTTGTTGTAGTCGTCGTCGTCGTCGTCAGGACAACACTTCTCCTATAAATAATAATAATAAAAGTTATTATGGTAATAAATTTATTTAAAAGAATTTTCACACAACCTTAACAACCAGCCAACCAACCAACCAACCTTTCTTCTCTACGATAAAAGGACATTGGGCTTTAAACAAATAGCAGTATTCAAAAATTGTTCTGTTCTTGTTGTTGAAAAGCATTTTGTTAATAGACTTGAACTGGATATTCTCATAAGAGTAATATTTTGGAGATACCTGGGTACATAAGTTTTTGGGCAGTGGTGAACTCCTAGATTCCTGGTGAGGGAGTGAATTTTATTAAATTAATGACTTGTAAAGGTGATTTTCATAATATTTTTAGCATAAAGGCAGTAATTTAGCAAATGAATTATGTTTAATTACTTCAAAGGCCAATTAATAACAAAATTCAGAGATGAGAGAGAAAGAGAGAAATTTCATTAAAGAAAATTAAAATTTAAATTTTGGGAAGAGGAGTTTAAGAGAGCTTAACTAATATGGAATAGAGATTTTTTGAGTTTTAAGTTAAAAAAAAAAAAAAAAACTATGACATGAAGATCACGCAGGAAACATTTAAATACGGAATGATGGGTTCATATAGTTCATATGTACACTGAGCAACACAAAAAAAAAATAATTACAGAAAAAATATAGTATATTAATGAAATAGAGCAAAGAATGTTTGCGAGTATCGGTCTTGGTCGAAGTAAAGTTTACCTCGAGAAGTATCTTAAATAGAGAAGGTAATTTCAAAACTCTTCCTCTTTTTAAATTTTGGAATAACAAAGTCTTGAAGTCTTTGCAATTTATGCATAAAGTGTCTTCGGCAATATTTCTGATAAAAATATGAGGATTAATTTGGTCGACAATTTTAAGCTCCTATTAAGTCAACATAGGGGTCTTTTTTCATTCTATGGAGGGTTTATTAGCTTTGTCATATCGTTTGTAACATCTCCAAATATTCATTATAGACCCTACAAAGTATATATTTTCTGGATCAGCGTCAAATTCTAAGACGATCTAGATATCTTAGACGATCTGTCCGTATGTCTTTTGTAATCACGCTATCTTTCGAACGAATTGAGATAGAAGGCTAACATATTGCAATATGACGGTACCTTCCGATATTCGATATTTAATGATTTTTGCGACATTATTCACAGGAATCGTATCAAATTTCGTATTTGAAGTTTGCAATGGGTACTACAGCCTATGATATAGCCCCCCCCCCCCCCCCCCCCAATATAACGGTATCTCCCGATAGTCGGTATTTTGATGTTTTGAGGAACATTATTCACCGTAATTGTAACAAATTATTTTTACGTATTTTAAGTTCGTAATGGGAACTACAGCATAAAAAATATTTCGCAAGCAGCTCCACGTCTGCGTATAGCCACCATATAAGGGTACCTCCTGGTATCCTGGTATTTTGATGATTTCAGCAACACTACTCACAGTCTATGACAAAAATTTTTGTTTGAAGGTACACGTCTTCGTATAGCCCCCATATGACGGTACCTCCCGACATTTGGTATTTTGATGATTCTTACAACATTATTTAACGAACATGTAGCAAATTTCGTATTGGAAGATCTTAATGGGTACTACAACCTATGGCAAAAAATTCGTATGCAGGTCCACGTCTTTGTGCAGCCCCCATATAGCGGTACCTCCCGATATTCGATATTTTAATGATTTTAGCGACATTATTCACTGGAACTATTTCAAATTTCGTATTTGAAGTTCGTAATAGGTACTATTCGTATGGTCCCCATGTAACGGTCTTCAATTAAGTAGTAGTTTTCGGATTTTTTTTTAAATTTCAAATTCCTTCCAAATGTTGGCGGGTATTAAAAGTTCAGCCCGACCGAACTTATCTCCTTTTTTACTTGTTTATAAAAACAACGTTTGTTTATTAGTGGAGAAAGATGGTTATGTTTACCAGGGGGTAAGGAAGGGAATGTCTAGGTTCTGTTCCCCGGTTTTCTTGTCTGGGATTATTTTGATTGACAGTTTTAACCTCCAAATTGATCTTAATTTCCATAGGGCCAAGGTTGAAAATGGCTGTATCGGTCACATGTATGGTCCGATTGATGGTGATTGTGGCTAAAAAACTAAACCCAATAAATATTTGTCAAGAACGAACTAGATTCCGATATAGCTTCTCCCTATATATTATATATGGGGGTACGAGTTCTGATCGTCATAAAATTGAATATTTAAGGTTTATAAATCAAATGAAAACAAATAAAAAAGTTGTAAGTTCGGCCAGGCCGAACCTTGAATACCCTCCATCATTTGGAACAAATTTGGCAATTTTTAAATAATAAAAACTGTTAAAAATACGATGACGTGGACCAGCATATGCAACTTTTATCATAATATTCTAATGCAAAACTTGAAAAAATCGGTGAATAATGGTTATATGGGGGCTATAAGAAGACGTGGACCGGTACAGACAATTTTTGTCATAGGCTATAGCATCCGTTACGAACTTTAAATACCAAATTTGAAATAATTCCGGTGGATAATGTCGCTAAAAACATCAAAATATTGAATACTGAATATCAAGAGATGCCTTTATATTTGGGCTATACGAAGACGTGGACCTCCACTAACAATATTCTTTCTTTGGCTGTAGTATCCGTTACGAACTTCAAATACCAAATTTTAAACAATTTCGGTGAATAATGTCGCTAAAATCATGAAAATACCGAATTACAGAAGGTACCATTATATGAGGACCATATGAAGACTTGGACCTGCACTGACAATTTTCTCTCACAGGCTGTAGTGTCCGCTAAGAACTTCAAATATCAAATTTGAAACAATTCCGGTGAATAATGTCGCAAAAATCATCAAAATATCGAATATCGGGAGGTACCGTTATGTGGCGGGTATAAACATTACAGGGAGAAAATCTTTTGAATCAAAAACATCTTTGGTTTTTATTTATTTATTTATTTTTTATTTATTATTTTTTTATTTATTTATTTATTTATTTATTTTTTTTTTTTGGACTCCCTAATATACGCATATAGTACACTGTGCGACAGCAAAAATACACACTTGCTCTAATATTGGAAAAGTGGTATGTGGGAGCCCACAGATGACGAATATTGCTTTGGGATTTCTGAAACTCGAAATTTCCCTGTATTTACCGTCATAAAATCAATTTTCGGAGTGACCCAGAAAAAGAAGTGTTTTTTATGATTAAAGGGGAAAGTAGAAATAGAAATATTCCGATGTATCAGACTTAGGTCAGAATCAAAATAGACAATATTAACCCACTCCTTTGGTACCTCCTCTCTAAAGGGTACATATTTTCAATTATCATAACGCGTGTCTATCTAATTTATTAAAATAAATGGACAATGAAATATTCTGAAACTCATTTAAACTATTTTTATACCACTTATTTTCTTTCCAAAAATAAATAATTAATTTATCTAAAAATATGTATATGATTTTAATTAATTGCTTATATTTCTAGGACCACCTGGTGTACCCGGCGACAGAGGTGAAATGGGTCCTGCTGGCCCACCCGGACCACCTGGTGAGAAGGGTCCACGCGGCAAACGTGGCAAGCGGGTAAGTAACTCAATTTTATTTTAACAATATCCTTTCCTATACGAAAGGGTAATTGAGAATGCAAAACACTCTTTTGTAAATACTTCGAAACGAACTCTCCTCTTGTAAAAAAAAACCACAAATATATACATATGTACATTGTATATAAAACACATACAAGCAAAAAAAACACCCACCACATGTATGTACACACATAACTACAAATGCTGTAAATATTTTGTTAGGTTAAATCGAAAGTGCAAAACTCCATTACAAACGTGTTTTTCGGTTTTTTATCTGCCTTGTTTTATACGTAAACAATGTAAAGTACCAGAAATGCCTGTGTGATTGACTGACTGAATGACAGAATGTCTGACTGCCTGCCGCTTGCTTGTATGATTGCCTGCAGAGCACGTAACTATAGGGGAAAATGAAAAAAAAAAAATGCCATCCAAAATACGAATATGTAACACCTTTAGATATCAAGAAAAATCTCAAACCCAAAGACCCCTCCATTTCTCCAGACATTATATTTTTTTTTTTTCTTGGAAGAAATAAAAAACGATCCCTTTTTTATCCTCCCCACCCAACCAATGCATGCTGCACTTCGGCCTGTATTATATCTAAAACTTCCCAAAAAAGGAAAAGAAAACAAATTTCTTTATTTTTTAAGCAAAACTCTAGCCAAACAATAAAAAAAAGAAAACAAGAAACGTATTACCAAACTATTGACATTCGACTTATCGAACGAAAATAGCAAACACCAAACACTTAGGCGACAACAAACTTCAGTGGAAACTTTTGTCAAAATGTGTTGCAAACGTGGAACTAAACACGATTAAGGATTTTTTTTTTGAAAATCCCCAATAGGAACAATGGCAGCAACCATGTTAAAATAATTTTTATTTTTTTTCTTTGTGCAAAAAGTTTGCCAAGCCGTAAAATTATGTTTGTTTTTATCTTGGGTGCGCTGGTTTTACACAAAAAAAAATAAAAAAACACGAAAGTAACACTCTCTGTGAACCAACTCTTATTAGATGTCAAACTGGGAGAACTGCAACATCGATAACATGTCAAACAACAACGTAAGTTTACTTTAAGTTACCCAAAATCCTCAACTCCTAACTGTGCCATTGGAAGAAAACGAAAATACGGGGAAAATGTAAAATCCCAAACCTGAGGATTGAATGACGTAGATGCTGCTCCTGTTCCTGCTTTGTGGGAGAGCCATAGAGATAAATGTGGTTGTCTAACATAACCTAACAAGGTGTAACTGTTAAATCACAATATAAATGACGCTTTTTAAGAGAATTATATATAATGCATGGAACTGTTAAAGACACACACTAAGGTATAGAGGTCTGCACAGTGTTATGAAAATGCTTTAAGGGAACGACATTATTTAAATACATTCCAACTAAGAGAGATTATTTATTAATAATCTCGTTTAATTTGGAACGCATCGAAATATTCCTGAAGAATCTACGTGTTTTTGATGAAAAGTAAATTTTACGTCAACTTAACTGCGAACAGCGATTCATAATTTTTGAAGGCCAACAACTTATTTACTGTCGTATCTTATATCCAAAATATTTATGAGGTCCGTTAAAAAAATACCAAAGCCAAGGTAACTAAAAAATTAGTTCAGCATAGGTGGGTGTGTGCTTCTAAAGATGTATATTTTTATACCCCCCATCTTGTCGTTCCGTTTGTAACTTCCTTAAATATTCGTCGTAGACCCCATAAAGTATATATATATTCATAATCAGCATAAAATCTAAGTCGATTTATCAAGTTCCGTCAGTCTGTGGAAATCACTATAGCTTCCGAACAAAATGAAGTAAGTCGATAAAATTTTACTTAAATGCGTATTATGTCTGCAGAACTTTTGGTATTGAAAATGGACCAAGTAAATGGACCACGTCTTCGTATAGCCCCCATATAACGGTACCCCCCGATATTCGGTATTTCGATGATTTTAGCGACATTATTTACCGGAATTGTTTCAAATTTAGTATTTGAAGTTCGCAATGAATACTACAGCCTATGACAGAAAATTTCGTGTGCAGGTGCACGTTTTGGTATAGCCCCCATATAACGGTACCTCCCGATATTGGGTATTTTGATGATTTTAGAGACATTATATACCGGAACTATTTAAAATTTAGTATTTGAAATTCGTAATGAATACTACAGCCTATGACAGAAAATTGTCTGTGCAGGTTCCGTCTTCGTATAGCCCCCATATAACGGTACCTCCCGATATTGAGTATTTTGATGATTTTAGAGACATTATATACCGGAACTATTTAAAATTTAGTATTTGAGTTTCATAATGAATACCACAGCCTATGACAGAAAATTGTCTGTGCAGGTTCACGTATAGCCCCAATATAACGGTACCTCCCCATATGCGGTATTTATATGATTTTAGCCACATTACTTACCGGAATTATTTAAAATTTAGTATTTGAAATTGGTAATGGATACTAAAGCCTATGACAGAAAATTGTCTTTGCAGGTCCACGTCTTCGTATAGCCCCCATAAAAAGGTACCTCCCGATATTCGGTATTTTGATGATTTTTCAAATTTGGTATTTGAATTTCATAATGAATACTACAGCCTATGACAGAAAATTGTCAGTGCAGGTTCACGTCTTCGTATAGCCACCATATAACGGAACCCACGATATTCTGTATTTCGAGGATTTTAGCGATATTATTTACCGGAATTATTTCAAATTTAGTATTTGAAGTTCGCAATGGATACTTCAGCCCAAGACAGAAAATTTTCGGTGCAGGTCCTCGTCTTTGTATAGCCCCATATATCGGTACATCCGATATTCGGTATTTTGAGGATTCTATCGACATTATCTACCGGAATTATTTCAAATTTGGTATTTGAAGTTCGTAATGGATACTACAATCTAAGACAGAATATTGTGTGTGCAGGTCCACGTCTTCGTAGAGCCTCTATATAACTGTACCTCCCGATATTCGGTATTTTGATGATTTTGGGTACATTATTACCGATTTTTGTAAGTTTCGCATTTGAGTATTGTAATGGCTTATGACAAAAGTTACCTATGCAGGTCCATGACCCTAATATTAGCTGTTATATTCGGTAGTTTTAAGATTTCAACAGAATTTTTAACGGATTTTATTGTTTTTGAGAGTTGCTAAATTCGTTCCAAATGGTGTAGGGTATTCAAAGTTCGGCCCGGCCGAACTGACAGCTTTTTTACTTGTTTTTAATAATTTTGGTTGAAAATATTTTCCTCAAAGATATTCTAAAATCCATCTTTGGAAAGTTACTCAATGTTGGTACAGGTGTTGTTACTTTATTCCTAGCCATACACTCTAAACATGACCGATCTTTAATCCATTTTTATAACCTGAACCTCGTAACATCAGAAGCATTGAATATACTCCATATCTCTTTGTTCTAAAATCAGTTTTATACCAGTAAAAGAAGTCTTAAAGTCGGGTGGGGCCGACTTTAGGATACCCTACACCACTTTGCATATTTAGTAGATCGTCACATAACAAATATAAGTTTTTATGAGGAATTCGTTAGAATTAAATCACACAAACTATAATTATATATAGAGACAAATCGGACGAAGATATGTATGGGATATATCCAAATCTGAACCGGTCTCGATAAAATTTAGCAACAGTATTTCTGAGTTTTATTTGATATATTTCCCCAAATATCGTTGTCGCAGAGTAGATATTACGGCTGCGGAGGACAAAAATAACAAATCGGATGAACGAAATACATATATTTGGGATCTATAGCTATATATGAGCCGATTTCAAATTTGGCATACTTATTTTCACGCTTAATTTGGTCGTATGTGCAAAAAATTTGCACAATAAAAGGCAAATCGGACGAAGATATATATGAGAGCTGTATCTAAATTTTAACTAATTATCTCCAATTTCAATAGGTTTCGTCCTTGTGCCAAACAAATGATTTGTGCAAAATTTCGTCTGGATCGGGCAATAAATGCGACATGAACATTGTTTACAAAAATACACGACAGATGGATGGACGGACGGACATTCATAAATCGACTCAGAATGTGATTCTATGCAGATCATCAAAAAGAACTATGGGTCTATCTCGTTTTCTTTTGCCTGTTACAAGCAAATGCACAAAAACATAATACCCTGACCACCTTGTGGTGTAGGGTATAAGAATTGAAATACGAAAATGAAAATGAAGTGGAGGTACCAGAAAGTGAGCACATTTTCCAAAATATTTAACCTTATAAATTTCAAAATGGTACTCAAAATTGTCTTTAAACTTTTAAAATCGTAATATTTTCAAAGCTCTCAAAAAATGCAAGTGTATTAGGCGAAAGCCAGGTTCATTTGGAAAAAAATCCTGCTTAGATCCATTTTCAAAAATTGTTTACCGACTCACTTCCTACCATACCTTCCACCTATATTTACACTCTCAGATTTATGATCATTAACGTATGGTCAAGTTATGGTTTCACATCTCTAATTTTAGCCATAAATCGTTTCCATTTTTTTTTTTTTTTTTTTTTTTTTGAGAAGACAGTATAACCCCAGGTGAACACAATTTCTCTAGAACGACCCAAAAATCTATTTTTAGAACTCTTCACCCTCTCATTCTGCATAGTTTGAAACTGTTGCGATTTCCATTCCCAAAACACTATTTCAAAAAAAAACCCAAAATCAAACAAACCAAACATTTTGATAGCTTCATAACTCAGAATGTGATTCTATGCAGATCATCAAAAAGAACTATGGGTCTATCTCGTTTTCTTTTGCCTGTTACAAGCAAATGCACAAAAACATAATACCCTGACCACCTTGTGGTGTAGGGTATAAGAATTGAAATACGAAAATGAAAATGAAGTGGAGGTACCAGAAAGTGAGCACATTTTCCAAAATATTTAACCTTATAAATTTCAAAATGGTACTCAAAATTGTCTTTAAACTTTTAAAATCGTAATATTTTCAAAGCTCTCAAAAAATGCAAGTGT